CGGTGCGGCGCAGAGCGCAGCCCTCCCCTGGCTCCGCGGGCACCCGGGGCCCGTCACTGACGGGAGGCCGGGGCCGGGGCCCGCGAGCGGAGCAGCCCCCGCGCGTCCGGGCGGCGGAGGAGACGGACCCTCCGCACGGGCGGCCCGGGGCTCCCTGGAGAGCGGCCCCGCGGGAGGAGAGGCCGAGCGCGGGGCTGGAGCGCTCTGTGCCCGCCTTCCGCCTCGCCGCCTTCGCCGCCGGGCCATGCGGCCCCCCGAAGCTGCCGCCGCGGCCGCCCGGCGCCGCTAGGAGCGGCGGGAGCCGGGCCGCCCTCGCGCCGGCGCCGGCCGAAGCGGAGCAGGGCGGCCGCGCCGGCCTGAATGCGGCCGGCGGGGACGGGAGCCAGCGGGGCCGGCCCTGGAGAGCGGAGTCGGCGCCCAGGACGGCCATGGAGAAGATGGCCAGGGTGACCACGGCGCTCGGCGGCAACACCATCACRGGCCGCACCATGTTCTGCCACCTGGACGCGCCCGCCAACGCCATCAGCGTGTGCCGCGACGCGGCCCAGGTGGTGGTGGCCGGCCGGAACATCTTCAAGATCTACTCCATCGAGGAGGAGCAGTTTGTGGAGAAGCTGAACCTCCGCGTGGGCCGCAAGCCCTCCCTGAACTTCAGCTGCGCCGACGTGGTGTGGCACCAGATGGACGAGAACCTGCTGGCCACGGCGGCCACCAACGGCGTGGTGGTCACCTGGAACCTGGGCAAGCCGTCGCGCAACAAGCAGGACCAGCTCTTCACGGAGCACAAGCGCACCGTCAACAAGGTCTGCTTCCACCCCACCGAGGTGTACATGCTCCTCAGCGGCTCCCAGGATGGCTACATGAAGTGCTTTGACCTCCGCAAGAAGGACTCTGTGAGCACCTTCTCCGGTAAGAACCCTGCTCCTCACCCTGCACCCTGCKGCGATGCAGAGGTCGGGATCCTTGTGCTTTTCCCGTGCCCAGGAGCAGAGCTGCTCCAGGGATGGAGCTGGGAGTCATTTCCTCCACGTGAGGATGCAGGAGGGGTTATTGTCTGTAGCAGCCTCCTGTTCTCTCTGGGCCCATCTCTCTTGCAGCTCTGATGCTGGGGCCTGATGGGGCTGCTGGGGACACTGTCGCTGGTGCGGTGACTTTGTCAGGGCTCTGTCCCATCGGGACATCTCCATTTCTGCCCCTACCTAGGCCAGTCGGAGAGCGTGCGCGACGTGCAGTTCAGCATCCGCGACTACTTCACCTTCGCCGCCACCTTTGAGAACGGCAACGTGCAGCTGTGGGACATCCGCCGGCCCGACCGCTACGAGAGGATGTTCACGGCCCACAACGGGCCCGTCTTCTGCTGCGACTGGCACCCCGAGGACAGGTTCGTGATGGCCTGGGTGGCCGTGGGCAAGCGAGACCCTTGCAACAAGCAAGAGACTTGAGTGRAGGGAATAGATGTGCCTGGGAGCCCTCCAGACTATGGTTGTTCTGAAGATACAGGGCCTTAAACAGGGCAGGGGAGGGCGAGTGTTGCCCGGCYTGGTTATTTGGTGGCAGAGGCGTTGGGGCAGCGTGTGGGAGGACACGGTCAGCCTCCCGTTGGCGCAGGGTGCCGCCTGCTCCGCCGTCATAGCCGCGTTGCGAGTGCCATCCACCTCCCTGCTGCGTCCGGGAAGGAGGGCGGGCTGGTGCCAGGCCAGCCCGCGTTGGTGTCACCGTCTCTCCCTGTCCCTCTCGCAGGGGCTGGCTGGCAACGGGCGGCCGAGATAAGATGGTGAAGGTGTGGGACATGAACACCACGCGGGCCAAGGAGATCTACTGCGTGCAGACCATCGCCTCGGTGGCCCGGGTGAAGTGGCGCCCCGAGTGCAAGCACCACATCGCCACCTGCTCCATGATGGTGGACCACAACATCTACGTGTGGGACGTGCGGCGCCCCTTCATCCCCTCTGCCATGTTTGAGGAGCACAAGGACGTCACCACGGGCATCGTGTGGCGCCACCTCCACGACCCCTATTTCCTCCTCTCGGGCTCCAAGGACAGCACTTTGTACCAGCACATCTTCAAGGACGCCAGCCAGCCCATCGACCGCGCCAACCCCGAGGGGCTCTGCTACAGCCTCTACGGAGACCTGGCCTTCGCGGCCAAGGAGAGCCTCATCTCYGCCGACTCCAACCGCAAGCCCTACATCGGGGACCGGCGCCACCCCATCTTCTTCAAGCGCAAGCTGGATCCGACGGAGCAGTTCGAGTACATCTCCTCCTCGAGCGCCCTCAGCGTCTTCGAGACGGACGTGGAGAGCGGCAGCATGGACTGGTTCGTGCACACAGCCAAGCAGTACGCGCTGGCCGGCCGGCCCCTGGCCGAGCTCTGCGACCACAACGCCAAGGTGGCCAAGGGCTTGGACCGCAACCAGGTGAGCACAGGGGAGCTCCCCGAGCCCCTTCCCTCCTGCCCATGCCTTACCTGGGAGCTGCTTGGCCYGCTGCGTCCGATGGATGGAGAGGGGGATGCTGCGAGGTGGCACCTGCTCTTGGGAATTGTCTCTTCTGAGGCTCATGCCCTGACCTCACCCTGCTCCAGGCCTCTATGGGACAGGGAAGTGGCTGCACCTCTGTCCTGGGTAGATCTGTGGAGAGGGTCTGGGTTTGCCTGGAGCGCCAGACATCCCCACAGGATATTCTTCCTTCTCTAGAGCGTGTCTTTTCTCATTTTCCTCAAGATCCTGCTGTTTCTGCCAACCTCTTCCAGCCCTTCCCTACTCTGACCCCCTTCTTCAGCTGGTTTTTCCCAGTTTCTCTTCTACTTTTAGTCCTTTGCACCTGGGGAGACTCTTGCCACAGGTTTGCCCTGGTCCCAGGGCTGACAGATGCTGTCAGGAGGRGACCTGCCCAGCTTGACAAGAGCCCGATTCTGCCTTAGTCTCTCTTATCCCTCCCTCGGTGTCCCTGGGAGGCCTCCCTCTGCTCTGCCACCAGGTCTCTAACCCTAGACCCACAACAAGCACCACTGTGGTTGTGTGCCTGGAGGTTTGACACCCTGAGAGCCTGCCCAGCCTGTGGGGTGGGCACGGTAAATGGGGATGAGTRTCTGTGTTCAGAGGCTGATCAGGAGAGGAAAAAAATAAAATAAAAGCAAGATTTCAGTAAGAAGCCTGGCTCCCTGCTGGCTCATGGCCTGTTTTGGGGGAGGTGACAATGACTATTTGGCTTCCAGAGACTCGGTGGTCTCCGTGGTTTGGAAGCGGAGCCTCGGCGGGTCCCCCTCGCCCGTGCTCAGCCCGTGRCTCCATTCTGCTCCAGCTTGTGGATGGCAGCAGAGTCCGACCAGTTTCTCCTCTGCACTAGGTGGCTCAAACGTGGACGATGCTCCGGATCATCTATTCCAGCCTCGGCAACGTGTCCTCTACTAACCTCAACCACAGCATAGGGAAAGGCAGCGCCRCCCTCCCACTCATGAACAGGTAAGGGCTATGTGGGGCGCCAGGGGCTGAGCTGAGCTGCAATACGAAATCAGAGCAGAGACAGCTCCCTGTGTCTGGACAGGCTGAAGTGGCTGGATGGGAGCAAGGATGGCTGTCCCCAGGCCTCAGTACTCTCAATAGCCATATAGGTTTGTGTCATTTGAATGCCAACATCTTCCACAGAGCTGTGAGGGGCCAGCCAGGCCTGAAGTTGTAGGGTGCGAGTGATTTGCCTGTGTGCTCCCTTTGCTCCTTGACCAGAAGTCTGAAGCTGGCTGCGATGGGCTGTGAGGCTGGTGTGGTCTGTTGTGTCTAACAGTGAGCTGCAGCCCGAGCCTGTGGCCATGGTTTGGGGCTGGAGAGCCCTCMTGTCACCAGTGAGGGCAGAGCTGCCTTGGGGCTAACGCCGGCACGGAGCGAGGCTCAGGCTCGCTGCCTTCCAAAGGGCAAGCTCGGCCTCACGAGTGGCTCCRTGGCATTGAGAACCCCCTTGTGCGTTGATGAAGCAGGAAAACTCGTTTCTCCTCTTCTGAAAGACATAAAATGGATGCGTGAGGACTCCAAATTAGTTCTTAAACCTTGTAGGACCTGGTTTCCAGGTGACTGGCGTAAACTTGAATAGCATCAAAGGCAACACTTCCATCAGGCAAGCTCTCTGCACGCAGGCAGGTCAGAGTCGATACCACAATAACTTGCAGGCAGCGAACTCGAGARTGCAGTTCAGCTTCATTTCCAATCAGCTCCTTTCCACCTGGGCAGAGCCTGGGAGCAGTCTTGCATAACAAGTAGCAACCCTTCTTGTAGAAGGGTTTCCTCATCTCTGTTTACCCACTTTGAAGGTGACAAGTGGCTCAGGAGGCTGTACTTGGCTCCCAAGTTGTCTAAGGAAGCTTTTGCAGGTGTCTTTATGGTGAGTACAGAGAGATGCCAGACGTGGAGAAATGACAGTGGTAAYAATTGCAGTGTGTGTATATGTGTGCATATATCTATATATAAAGTTACAGAGTGAGGAGAGCTGACTTCTTTTGCTGTCAGGAAAATCACCTGCTGTGTTTCTGCTTTCAAATCAATTGGAAACCTCTATCCAGGCTGTTTGCTGTCTAGAGTGGAAGCTGTAAGCTTCTGTGACTGTTATATTAAGCAAGTGGCTTCTTTCCCAGCTTCAATCTGAAAGACATCCCCTCTGGGCTAGGCAGCGAGTCGAGACTGGATCGCAGTAAAGGGGAGAGCCGCACRGAAAATATCCTCATGGATTCCTCCTCCACTCTGATCAACAACGAGGGTAAGGTTTGGGGGGCAGGCCCGTGTGTGGGGAACCCCTTGGGGCTAAACCCCAGTCCTGTGGCTGTCCCCTCCTCAGCCCGTCCCAGATGACACAGTCCTGGTCACTTTGGTGTGAGAGGGTCTCTGCACGTGGCAGCTGCAGAAGGACGTTTTATCCCTSTGACTGCCACAGTGGTGACAGAGGGTGCTGGGGATGTGACCAAACTGAACGTACTGGCTGGTTCAGACACAGCCTGGTGTCCTGGGCTGTGTGACAGGGCCTTGGGTTGGACTGAGTGGCCCATGAGGACGCGCTGACTTCTTTCTCTGGTCGCKCAGACAACGAGGAGACGGAGGGCAGCGATGTCCCTGCTGACTACCTGCTGGGGGATGTGGAAGGGGACGAGGATGACCTCTACATGATGGACCATGAGAACCCACACGGTGTGTGAACTGCTCGTGCTCAGGGGTGTTTTCTGTGCCAGCCGTGTGGCTGGATTTTTCTTATGGCTTATCCCTGTCCGTGGCACTGGTTGTGCTGATAAACAAGGGTGTTTTTCCGTGCAGCTGAAGAGCAGGAATACAGCCTTCCCCAGGAAGCCTTCCCGCTGCGCCACGAGATCGTGGACAACCCGTCCGCCTTGGACCACTTGCAGGACAAGGCTGACTCCCCTCACGTGAGCGGCAACGAGGCCGAGACGGTGTCCCTGACCCCCGTGGAGTCCTTCTCCCTCATCTCCATCTCCCACTCGCTCTACGAGAACCGCCTGCCCTCCGACTTCTTCAACCCCATCGTGCGGGACACGCTGCTCTTCTACGCGGAGCAGGGCGACGTGCAGACGGCCGTGTCGGTGCTCATCGTGCTGGGCGACCGCATCCGCAAGGAGATCGACGAGCAGACCCAGGTACCCCGGGGAGGCCAGCAGAGCTGTCCCGGCTGCCCCTGTCCGGGCCTCGTTGCGGGTTGCGCTGTCTCTTCCTCTCTGTTTCCTCCCTGATAACTCCCTTCCTGGAGGGCTCTGTAGATAGCTGCGGGTGTCCCTGCCACAGGGACATGCCTGTCCCTGTTGTGCTGMACGCTGAGAGGCTGAAGTGTTGCAGGAGCACAGGCTGTCCTGAAGACGGTGCACGTGTGTCTGCCACGGCAAGAGAAGGACTGAGGCTTCGCCCCCCTTCCCAGCATTTCTGACCTACGAGATTTAGCAGTTCCCTATGGAAAAATGTGCACGTGGCAGGTGCCTCCACGTGAGGGAGGGTGAGTGGCAGCTGCCACTGTTCTTAACTAGCACCTATCAGCACATGTCACCCCAAGGCTGAGGAGGGACCTGTACCCTCCTTTAGGGGCTGACACAGCAACCCCACAAGCTGTCCCGGTGCAATGGGGCATCTCCGTGTCACTGTGAGGGGTTCACCCACATGAAATGGGCTGCTGCCCAGCCTGGGCATCTCCCTTCTCCCCAGCCTGTGCCAGGACAGGAGCCCAGGCCAGCAGCTGGAGGCAGGAGCTGGGTGCTCTGCTGGGACCCTTCCAGCAGCTCCTGCCTCAGGCCCGGGTGGCACCATTGCCCTTGCTGTGCTTATCCCGCTTGGCAGGGRGCTGGGGCCGGGGCCGCGCTGCCCACGCAGAGCTGGGCTCACCCCGCCCCTGTGTCACTGTCCCTAGGAGCACTGGTACACGTCCTACATTGACCTGCTGCAGCGCTTCCAGCTCTGGAACATCTCCAACGAGGTGATCAAGCTGAGCACGTGCCGCGCCATCAACTGCCTCAACCAGGCCTCCACCACCCTGCACATCAACTGCAGCAACTGCAAGCGGCCCATGAGCAACAGGGGCTGGATCTGCGACAGGTGAGGGTGGCACCACGCCGAGGGACACGGCGTTGGCCGCCAGGGCGAGGGGCCGAGCCCCAGCCTGGGGGGCACCCTGGTGACTCCCAGCCCTGTGGGGACGGGGGTTGKCGCCGCGGGTGTCCCGCGTGTCCCAGCCCGCGCTGACCCGCGTCCCCTCCACGCAGGTGCCGTCAGTGCGCCAGCATGTGCGCCGTGTGCCACCACGTGGTGAAGGGGCTCTTCGTGTGGTGCCAGGGCTGCAGCCACGGCGGGCACCTGCAGCACATCATGAAGTGGCTGGAGAGCAGCTCGCACTGCCCCGCGGGCTGCGGCCACCTCTGCGAGTACAGCTGAGCCGCGGCGGGCCCCACCGCACCCCAGCGCCGCGGCCCCGCCGCCCTCTCCCTGTATTTATTCCCGCGGATCCTGTTTTGTACCGCAATAAAACAGCGCACACCGAGCAGCCGCCTCGAGCCGGCGCGGCGGGAGCGGCGCCTTTAAGACGCGGCATGCYGGGACATGTAGTCCAGCGCGGCGGCCAATGGCAGCGCGCGGCGTGTGCGCGCGGGGGCTGCCGGGAAGCGCAGTCCGCACCGTGCCGGTAGCGGGGGCCGCCATGGCGGCGCTGCCGGGGCTGCTGCTGCTGCTGGCGGGGGCCGCGGGGGCCGCGGGGCCGGGCGGGGGCTGGTGAGAGCGCGGGGGACCGGGACCGGGACCGGGAACGGGAACGGGGCTGGGCGGCGGCTGGTGAGAGCGCGGGGGACCGGGACCGGGAGCGGAACCGGGAGCGGAACCGGCTCCGAGCGCGGGCTCCGCTGCAGGGCGGCGGGCGCGCTGCCGGAGGAGGAGCGGTGCAGCGTGGAGCGGGCCGACGCCTCCCTCACCTTGCCCGGCTTCCTGCAGCGGTACGGGCCGCGCGAGCGGGGCTGGGTGCCCCGGGCCCGGCGGGGGGGGGGGTCCGGGGTGCCCCCGGTTCGGGGCTGGGTCCCGGGGTCCCGGGGGGGGGAGGTCCGGGGTGCCCCCGGTTCGGGGCTGGGTCCCGGGGGGCCTTCGCGCCGCAGCCGCCGGGACCCGCGCTCTGTGCCGCCAGGTTCGCCTTCTCGCGGCCCGTCGTCATCCGCGGGGCCACCGACAACACGGTGAGTGCGGGGGGCTCCGGGGGGACTCCGGGGGGGCTCCGGGGGGTTCCGCGGGGCCGGGGGTCCCGTCCCTAACCGCCCCCCCCCAGGTGTTCCGTGCGCTCTGCACCAAGGACAAGCTGCTGGCCGCCTTCGGGCAGCGCCCCGTGCGCCTCAGCACGGCCAACACCTACTCGTACCGCAAAGGTGAGCGCGGGCGCGGGGCCGGCCCGCTCGGCCCCGGCCCCCCGCTCAGCCCCGGCCCCCGCAGTGGACCTGCCCTTCCAGGAGTACGTGGAGCAGCTGCTGAAGCCCCAGGACCCGGCGGCGCTGGGCAGCGGTAGGTAGCGGCGAGGGGCCCCCGTGGCTCCCGCCAGCGCYGGGCACCGACGGCCGTGACGGGGCCGCCCTCCCCTGCAGACACYCTGTATTTCTTCGGAGACAACAACTTCACCGAGTGGGGCCCGCTCTTCCAGAACTACGTGCCGCCTCCCTTCCGCATCCCGGGCACCACGGGTGCCTACAGCTTTGGCATTGCCGGTGGGTGCCAGGACAGGCTGCGGGCACCAGCATGAGGCTTGGGGTCCCCCGGGTGCTGCCAGCCCTGGGGCTGGGCAAAGGCGGCTCTCCAGCAGCGCCCCTCTGCCCTGCCCAGGCTCCGGCTCCGGTGTTCCCTTTCACTGGCACGGCCCCGGTTACTCGGAGGTGATCTATGGCAGGAAGGTGAGAGGAGAGCCCTTGGGTGAAGGCAGGGGGAGAAAAAAGCAGCTCTCCTGACAGCTGGAGGAGCTGGGCAGCACCCTGGGGCTGCTGCTCCCAGGGCTGCTGTTCCCGGAGCTGATGTTCCTGTCCTGCAGCGCTGGTTTCTCTACCCRCCGGATAAGGCGCCCCACTTCCACCCCAACGAGACGACGCTGGCCTGGCTCCGTGACACGTATCCCTCGCTGCCGCCCGAGGAGCGCCCGCTCGAGTGCACCATCCGCCCCGGGGAGGTGAGAGCGCCCGCGGTGCCCCCTGCCCCTCACGTCCTGCTGGGTCCGTGGGGAGGATGGAGGGTGCAGCCCTCCTGCCCCGCTCCATCCTCTCGAGCAGCAGGGAAGCAATGGCCCTGGCAGAGGGGAGGCCCCTCGTGCTGCCCAGAGCCAGTGGCTGCCCTGGTGGCACTGCAAGGACCGAACAGGAGCGTGTCCTGAAGGAGCTCAGACAAGCACAGGGAATTCTCCCATTCCCATGCTAACCCGCACAGCCCGGGAAGGCAGGATGCAATGGGAAGGCCGCGCTCTCCCGCAGGTGCTGTATTTCCCCGACCGCTGGTGGCACGCCACRCTCAACCTGGACACGAGCGTCTTCATCTCCACCTTCCTGGGCTAGGGCCAGCACCGCGGCCCGTCCCGCCGGGCCCGGCAGCCAGGCCCGGCCCAAGGGCGCGCTGCTCCCTACACGGTGAGTGTGACTGAGTGGGCTCCGGAGCGGAGGCCACGCGGCAGCTCTGCCTCCTGCYGCTGCGTGCAAAGGGCTGGGGCAGCAGCACCTGCTCCGATAGTGGTGAAGGGACCAAGGACCTGAAGAAATTCTGATATTTRCTCTTCTCCTTCATTCCTCTTGGATTAAAATTTATTTTTGGTCATAGTGTCTCATGTTATTACTGCATCCTGGCCACTAATGCTTAGGAGAAGGCAGGGGAGCTGTGGTAATCKGCAGCCCACACAGCTCTGGGAAGGCAGGAAGGTCTTGGCTCAGCTGCAGCCAGTTGCTCAATGCCCCGATACTGGAGTTCAGTGTSCTGGGCTGGTGCAGCTCCTTTGGGAAGAGCCCAGGTGCTCTAGGAAAGGCTGCTCCTTGCATTTCAATTACGCTATYGGCGAAAGGCTGCCCTCCGTCCCCTGGAGCAGCCGTGGTCCAGGCCCGGAGAGCCTCAGGTGAGTGGCAGTGTCTGTCCCAGGCACTGCCAGCAATGGAAGGCGACCTGTCTCTCCTGCCGCTTACCCCTGGAGACGGCTGCAATCATGAAACATTCAAGCTCTTTTCACATTTATTGCTGAATTATTTATTGACGTTGGCAAACTTCCAGAGAGTGCTCAAAAGCCAGGCAGGCCGTAGGCCAACCCTACAGAGAAACCTCCAACAACCAAAATGCTTTAGCCTTGGTCAGACTTTTTGTTGTTTTTTTTTTTAAGGGATTTAATTAAAAGGAATATGAACTTCAACCTGGACACTTGTTTATGGGCAACTACAGTCCCAGGGCCGGCAGGAAAGGGGAGGTGTGAGGACAGCCTCTTCCAGCCAAGGGGCAGTGGTTTCCCAGAAAAAGTCTARAGCCAAGTCCATGTCTTTAAAGTAGAGGTTGGTCTCCCATCCCCGGCACGTGGCTATTTACAGGAAACAGCAAGACACGCTACTACTGGACAGACAGGAGATGGAATGAATAGGAAACTATGTACAGGGAGAGGGGACCAGGCCAGGTGAGCACGGGGAGCACCAAGCGCCCGTCCAAGCAAGCTCCTCGCCCGTCACCGAGCCRGGCTCTCGCTGCAGCACCTCCCCGGAGCAGGGCTCACGCCGAGGACACGGGAACCTTCTTTGGAGACTGGCAGCTGCCGTCGCACAGGACGGTCCCTGCTCTCCGGGCGATGGAGACGCTGGTTGAACCTTCGGAGCCCCCGCCATGAGCCACCGTCCCTTCTCCCAACGGCCAGGCTCTCCTCGGAGCACCACATCCCTGCGGAGCCGAGGGGCTCCCCTCCTCGTGCCGGCCATCCCGCTCCTTGGGGACCCGATGGAGGCCGGGAACGGGGGAACCTTGGTGCCTGCGCAGCCCGCTGCGGATCCTGGGGCAGGGGAGATGCCAGCGGTCCCCAGCCCAGCGCTGCCAAGGGGGCTCCGGGCACCCGGAGCGGARGGGACAGACAGACAGTGAGTAAGGCATGGTGCCAGCCCCGCGGGCGCCGTGTGCGGCCGAGCGCCGCCGGGGCGGCGGGAGCGTCCGGGCAGCTTCGCCCCCTCGGCCGTCAATAATCTTCTACCCAGCCGTTTTCTGATATGAACGCGTCTATCACCTCCTTCATGGCGAGGTTGGGGATCAGCTGGTCCTGGGTCAAAGGACTCCGCGTCACAGGATCGAAGTGGCCCACGCGCTGCAAGGGAAGAGCTGGGGGTGAACCGGGCACTCCATAGGGCCAGCCCAGTCCGGGAAGCCCTGCCTCACACTGGGATGCRCCCAAGGCTGAAGCATTTCTGGGAGAAGGAAGACATGGAAGGAGGCCCCACCTGCTCTTTACATGCACCCCACCATGGTGACTAGAAGCTGACTAAAGGCTTTCAAGCTCCAACTGCTCAAAATCAGCCCCCGTGGGCACAGATGCCCTYGTGCTCAAGGCCGGGCTTGGTACAGCCAGCAGTGCCCCAGCAAGACRAAGCTTCTTCCAAGGTCCTGGGAAGCGCGTGCAGAGCTGAGCAGGTCCCTGCCCAGGGCTCGGGACTCTCCCAGCCCRAGGGTACCTGGAGATGCTCCTCTATGTCCTTCCTGTCGTACGTAATCCCGCTGGGCGTGATGCAGGGCTCTCTCATCAGCTCAAAACTGATCTTCCCGCACAGGTAGTCTGGGATGTCCCGCTTCTGGCTCAAGACAAGCAGAGCTGGGTTAGGAGATGCAGGGTGAGCACAGCAAGGGGGGGCAGAAAAAAAGAACCAAAGAGCTGGGAGCCGTTGATGAAGGTGCAAGGGGACAAAGAGCTGCAGCAACAGCTGGGAAGGGGACTTGCCACCTCCGGCACCCGCTCCCTCCCTGCCTCTACTGCTCACCAGGAGCTGATTCCCACATCTCTGCATCCCGAGGCCTCCCGGCCTTAAATCCAGTCCCACTGAGGCCTCTCCCTTTGCCAATGTTGCAGGCTCTGTGAGCCTGACCCCCAGCTCTGGCCGGGCACTCGCTCAGCCCTGGCTCTGGGTGCAGGCAGCTCTTCCGGAGGGACTCCCAAAATTCCCTCAATCCTGGGACACCAGCCCGTCTYCCAGGGACGTGGAAGAGGTGAAGGGTGAAAATTCAAACCGCAGCTTCACCTCAACACCGGGGGCTAAGCCAGGCTTAAAGCGAATACTCTACCCGAGCAATGAGCTGGGTTTAAGCAGGTGCTCTCACCTTCCTCTTCTCATCCACTTGTGAGAAAAGCTCATCCATGTCTGCCAAGTACTTGTCCTGCAAGAAAGGAAACCTTTCTGAGGCGGGGAGAGCGCAGCCAGTCCGTGGGAAGGCAGAGATCCCTAGTGCTTCCCCTCACATGGATTCTGTGGGTGCCCAGCAAGCCACAGAGCTCCACGTCCCGCCGCTTCCCAGGGAAGCGCCCAGCAGGTCCCAGGAGCCGGAGGCAGCGGCGTGGGCACGGGCGCCGCTGCCGCACACCTTGCCAGCTGAGTCACAGCAGCGTTCGTGCCGCTTCGAGCTGCGCTGGGTGCCACAAGTGATCCAGCTCAAAATAACCTTCCTTTGCGGGGCTATTTTTATCCCTGGATTAGTCCCCTGCTCGGTGACGTGGCGCAGACCCGTGCGTGGCCGCGCACACGTGGCCCAGGGGGTGTGAACGCTGGGTCGTGCTGCCACCAAGGGCCCGGCGTGAGCCACAAAGCTCATGTTGAACAGCCAGGGCTACCCAGGGCAGCAGAGCAGGGTGGTTGCAGCTCATGCTCAGGACCAACCGAGCACAACCCAGCAGTAACTTGCGCCGTGGCTGCTCCGAGCTGCTGGGGGAAGTGCTGGCTGCAGCACCAAGTCCTGATGGATAGCMGGGCACAAAGAACCAGCAGCTCTTGACTTTTGCCGTTGCAATCACARCCTCTGGAGCCGTGAGGCAGTGGCTGCAGCCCAGCCTTTCCCGAGGCTCCCCAGGGAGCTGCAAGAGGCTCTGCAGCAGCCTGGGGCAAAGTGCCACCCCCAGACGCTACTGCAGCACTTCCCGGCCTCACCGGGTGACCCTCAGAGGCCCCGTTTCCCCAGGCTGCTCTTGGGACACCCTGGAGGCCAGGGACACCCTGGAGGCCAGGCTCTTCCCCGACTTGCACACTCACGTGTTTGGCTTCAATGTTGGCCAGCTGAGCTCGGCTCCGACTGTCATCCGCATTTTCTTCTTGCTGAGTCTTTCGGCACTCGGCCAGCTCCCTGGGACAGAGTGGGAGAAGTCACCGCCGAGATCRGGAGCAAGACGCTCCACAAGAACAGGGAGCCCTCTCTGCCCTCCCCGCTCTCGCTAACTTCGCTCTAGGGCTGGGATTTCCAGGAAGGCAGCGGCATTGCCCACCTGGAGAGCCCCCAGTTTAGGATCGCTGCACTAGAAGATGTTTCCAAGAGCTTCTTTCTTTTCCCATTCCCTACATCCATCATCTAGATCAGGATCACACAGCATCCCTCTTCCCACATTTGAAGCCAAGTAGCCCACAGGGCTTGTRCAAGGACGGCGCTGGCTCCCAGGGCAGCTGGGACACACTGGTGCCCATGGAGTTGCTGCATCCCAGTGCCGGGGCTGAGCCCTGGGCCATGTCCCTGTCCCTGCAGGTGCCGGCCGCGGTACCTCTCCTTCTCTGCCATGATGAGCTTGGTCAGGTAGGAGTGCAGCTCGTTCTCCTGATTGATGCGCTTCTCCTCGATGCTGTTCCAGCGCTTCTTCTTGGCGATGCGCAGCGCGCTGGGAATGTCGTCGCCGAAATTCAGCCGCTGCTCCTTGGCCAGGTTGTAGGCTGGGGGGAAAAGGAGCCTCTTAGAGCCGCCGGGGCAGGAGCAGCGTGGAGCCACCTCTGATCCACTTCTTCCAGCCCGACGCTGGGCCCAACACGCACTGCTTGTTCGCAACAGCTCAGGGTGCTGCCACCCCACCAAGGCASAGATTTCTAGGGTGCTCAGACAGCRCCGGCACAGGCACAGCTCTCATTACCCAGCAAGGGAATCTGATCCTGCCCGCGTCCCAGCTCCCCTTCCAGACACCTCCCAGGAGCGACGTGACGTGACCACATGTAACTCAACTTCTCTTCTTCCCCTTTGCCTCCACTAACCAAATGCCAATACCCCTTCTGCAAGTAGAAAGCACATCCTCACAGCTGCATTTTTAAGGAGGAAAAAACCCCTCTCTCTCTCTCTGCGTAGCTACAATGGGCTGGTATCCTGGAGCTAGGTATCCTGTCCGTAGCACCCGGGCGAGMTGTAAAGGTCTTGGTGGCCTCTCCGCAGCCGTCGGCGGCCGCTCACCTCTCTGCAGGTTGGCGATGGCCTCGTCGTAGCTCTCCATCTCCAGCTGGCACTGCCCCAGGAAGAAGTGCGCCTTCACCGACTGGCTGTCCAGCTCCAGCGCCCGCTTGCAGTCGGCCAGCGCCTTGTCGTGCTGCTGCATCTTCAGGTAGCACAGCGCCCGGTTCGTGTAGTACACGGCCACCAAGGGGTTGCGGTTCTGGGAGGAGAGCCGCGGGTCACGGGGGAAGCTGTGCCGCAGGGCTGCGCGCTGCAGCTCCCCATGCAGCAGCCAAACAGCGGCTGCAGAGGCCCAAGSAGGGACCCGCTGCGTGTTCCCTGTGCTGGACAGGGACACGTTTGGGACACAGGGCTGGGGAAGGTTCCAGCTGCAGCGTCCTGGCCCAGGTCACAGCAGCAGCGTGCCGGGCGCCGCAGCGGGGCGGCGTGCGCAGGGGATCCCGCTCCGCGCGGGCGCCGCGCCGGCCTCGCAGCCGCTGTCCCCGGGAGGGGACGGCCCCGCGCTGCCCGCGGCGGTGACGCGCCACGGCCCGCAAAGACTCCACAAACCGGCTCTGCGGAGCCGTGTCCCGGCGAGGTGACTCAGAGCAGAGCCGCGCAGCCCTGCGGGCACCTGTGAGCCGGGCGCAGGTACCAGGGACACCGGAGCAGGGCCCCAGCCACGATGCAGGGCACCCAGGAAGCACCTTGGGGGGGGGTCCCAGGGGTCCAGTCGCCCCACGCAGACCCCAGCGCCTGCCCTCCCTTGGGCTGGTGTGGTGGGGACCCACCCTGGCCCCCTATGCTGTCCCCCGGGCTCAGACCCCCCTGGTCCTGGCCTGGGGACAAGGGGACAGAGGAGCAATGGGGAAGGGAGAGGACACAAGGCGCAGGCCCAGCCTGGGGACAGGCGGGGGCGGGAGATAGTCCAGGCCTAGGGACATCATGGGGAGAGGAGAGGGGTGACACAGGCCGGCCTGCAGACACGTTATGGGGACAGGCACAGCCAGGGGACACGGGGGCAGAGGGGCTGGGAGCAGGAGGGGACACAGGACACGCGGGCCGGGCACAGGGACGCGCTGGGTGGGGACAGCCCAGGCCTGGCGACATCGGGCGGGGGCRGAGGGCCAGGCCCGGGGCGAGGGGACACGGTGGCGGTGGCGGTGCCCGCGCCGTCGGGGGGCACTCACGATGGCGCGTCCGTAGCAGGCGGCGGCCTCGGGGTACTTGCGGCCCACGAAGAGGCGGTTGCCCTGCTCCTTGTGCTCCTGCGCGCTGTGGCTCTTGTCGGGGCTGCCCGCGCCGCCCGCGCCGCCCGCGCCGCCCCGCGGCCCCGC